GCTCAGACCACACGAATACAGTGTAATCGCCATGGAGCCAGAGTCTTTAATTTCACGAACAGGCTCCATGGCATAGCTATCTGGGTACTTTCACATAGAATATACTATAAAACACAAAGTCCTGAATGCTCCGCCGTTCGGTAACCGAACGGAGCTGAAGACCCATAGGCTGATAGCTCAGCGGTGCTTGAAAGGAAAAGTGTCCGCTTTTGATGTACTGAGGCTGGGCAGAACAACGTTGGCTGCCCGGGGAGCTCCATAACACCCCCATCGTGTGGCGGCTAGGTGTAACAGCGACCACCCAGTAACAGTCAATTAAGCTGTGGTTAACCGCAGATACTGGGTGGTCAATTGCCGGCACACGCTAGCTTCAGGGAGGTAGATTGAAGGCACACTCCAGCTTCCCGGTGGTCGCGTAATCAGTAGTCATTCGGGAAACAAAGCGGGGAAACAAGGGGGCTGTACGGGTAAAGAAATAACCGAACAAACAGACGAATGGAGGGAGGAGAAACATAATCCAAAGACAGACGGTTCTGTCACAATTATATGACTCGTTACCTTGTTATGCACAATTACACTGTAATTCAATAAAAGAAAAAAAACACATGTATTCCTAACAATGTAGTGCTTGGATACCTATTTAGGTGTTGGCCCCCCTTTCCCCTGGTAAGGAGTTAAAATGTATTTTACTTATTTTTTCCTCTATTTTCACTCTGGTCTAGCTGCAGCTGCCTTCATGGCTGAGATCATCAGTCTTTTTGATCACAGCCAATCCAATAATTTCCCATAGGAAAGCATTGGGAGGCTATTGCATATGCATAGCAAAATGCCACGCTGCACCAATTAGTATCTCCTCATAGAGATACATTGAACCAATACATCTCTATATTTAGTATTTATTGTCTCCATGCAGAGAGTGGAGACGCTGAACGAAGATGATGTACACAGTGCAGCACTGAACTATGACGAACCTCTTCTGGCATCTGAGTGACTGCCACTAAAGTTTTTCCTAGACAGCAATGTAAACACTGCCTTTTTTCTGAAAAGGCAGCGTTTAAAGACTGCAGGGACTTGCGGTAGACACCAGAACAACTACATTAGGCTGCAGTGGTTTTGGTGAATCAAGTGTCCCTTTAACCCCTTAAGGACCAAACTTCTGGAATAAAAGGGAACCCCTTAAGGGGTTAAACATTGTTAAGAATATTATGGGATAGGTTTTTGTATTCCAAGATAATTGTGCAAAGTCATTTGTATCCATGTAAAACACTCATTAGCCACTCAAATTTGAATTATAGCCAGATAAAGAAAAGAGAACTTAAACAAATTAAACATATTCCTAAGAAGCTTGTAGACTTTATTTAAATGAATCCTAGTGCCATAACAACAACATCTGGATCACATTTCTGCTTGTTACGAATTATATTTGGAACAGCTAGGGTTCTTTGTGCTAACCACATATTTTTTTTTAGACTCCTGTTTTTTTATCTGCCACATATTTAATCGTTGCTCGCAAATAATTGTGATTACCTCCATTTGCATATTTGGAGCTTAACTAAAAAACAAAAGATCTATGAATATAGAAATTTTGATTCAAATTCAGAATACCCTGCTTTTATCTCTTATATTGAAATTACACCACCTGAACATCATTTAGAAATACAAAATTAAGATTCTGTTTCTCCTTGCACCACGAATAACATAGATATTTATTTTATATTTCAATAACTGTTAAGTGTCTTGTTTTTTTGATAACAAATAGTATTTGTTTCATACAGGATACTTATTCCTCAAAATATTCATTATTAAATTTCTTAACAATTTATTTGCAAAATAAATAAATAAATAAAATGAATACTGTATTCAAATCTACTTTGTGGAAAAAAACATTTGTAAAGCTAATAGAGAATGCATGACTGGCTTCTTAAATGAGCATACATTTCTTTTTTGCATAGATTGTGAATCAGAAAAATAAAATCTGCGAATTATACCAATTTATTTAATTATATCCGTATTAAATTATGGTATTATTAAAAGTAGACAATTGAGTAAAATTACTTTTCAGTAATGTATTATTATTATTATTATTATTATAGTTACATATTTTGCAGTGCTGGGCATTAGGTGCACTAACAAACAGGTAGTTGCAACAAAATCTAGCGCACTCACTCATTCACTAAACAGCTATTTCAATTCTCACAGAATGTAATAGATTAATTTAAAAACACCTCAAAAATAATTGGGGTTTAGTTATAGTATATGATCATTATGTAGTGGACCACGGGTAACACGACCGGTTACCTCCGCTAGCACCTACCTTCAGCCACTCAGGAACCACTTTAGAATATACAGAGACCCATTTCCCCCCTAGTAACTGGACGACACACAGTTCTGGAGGTACAACACAATTTTATTGCCACACATAGCTTTTACGCATAGCCCCATGTAAGGGGTCTTCAACGCACATAAACAGGGGTTATCCCAGGATCCACTATGCTTGGGGGGTCGCTGACCCTTTGTCTCCCAAACATCGAAAGCCCGCCACTCAGACGAGGGGTCTCCCGTCCAGGATGACAGGGGGTCTTCATCTCATGAGCCTCCATGCCTGGGAGCCAAAGCGCGGAAAAAGAGATTTTTGTCTCCCAGGCATAGAAAAGCCTGTCAAACTAGCCAGTGCCCCAAAAGTGTCCCCACCAACCTCAGCCGACCTCACACTGGCACATTCTCCGAGTCCTTTCTGTGCTGTGAGGAGTGCTGGAAGCTGCAAGGGAAGCTTCTGTGCTGAGTGCTGGAAGCTGCAAGGGAAGCTTCTCCTTTCGGGGTATGAATGCTCCCCCTGGCTGGCGTTCACCTATACGAAATGGCAGCCACCCAGGTTAGCACTCATTAATTATTTCCTTTGAGGTTCCACACTATGTTGCCAGTGCGGACGTTGCGGTTTCACACTTTTTGGTGGAAGCGTTCTAATGGGGCACTGGGGTGGTCCTTGTTCGGGAGAAGAACGAGTCTGGAAGCAATCCACGAATGCTCCCCCTGGCTGGCATTCGTCTATACGAAATGGTGGCCACCCAGAGGAGCACTCATTAATTGCTTCCCTTGTGGTTTCGCAACTATGTCAGAAGTGAGAACGTTCTACTTTAATGTTCTAACTAGCATTCTAAATGGGATATCCAGGTGGTCACCGTTTGGGAGACGAAGGAGTTCCTTTCGTAGAAGCGATCCCAAATGGGGAGCGGGTACGATATATGAAAGGCAAGGGAAAAAAACACAGTATAAGTAGAAAGCACGCGAACAAGCGGTGGTTCCACCACAGCAAAGGCCTGCCACAACACCAATATACCCTCTTCATGGCAGCTCCTACTGTAGCAACCTAATGCCTGCTCTTATAAGATGAATCCACTTACTTGGGAAATGCTTCCTCCTGGGACTATCTGCAGTGCAAGGGTAAACAGGCCCTGTGAGGGGAGGGGTGCAAAACCATGGAATAAGCCTGGACTCCCAAAAATAAGTATGAATGTTTAGGTGAGTGCAGCCCTCACCGTTTCATATATTTATATATAGAGAAAATGTGGAATGGTTGTTGAGTGAAGATATATTAGGCCTGCTTTACTAAACAGCAGCCTGAGGTTTCTCAATTAAATTTCCCAGGGAGAGATGTTAGGTTTGCAAGATACTCTGCAAATCATGGTAAGGGTCCCTGGGGCGGAGCATTTGGAGAGCAGGGTGGGCCAGTGCTCCAATAGCACTAGTTGCTAGGTAACAGCCAGACCAGGACCTTAGGAGTTCCAGAGATGTGAACTAATTGACACTCACCTGTAGCCAGTCAATAGCAGGCAGGCTTTTAAAAGAAGGGATCAGCCGGCTGCAGAGTGAGGTAGAAAAAGCCAGCTAGGAGAGCTGAAAGACAGAGGAATAGTGTGTCTTGCATGTATATTTTGTTTTTCAATATAATTTTTATTAAGATTTTGTTTCATTGTTTACAAGAACTGAACAGTGGGTGATATGTAGCATCACAAGAATACAAATGGTTTTGGTTACAAGGTAACAATAGGTATAACATATAGTACGGTAACAAGTAACATGTACAAGGGTTCCCATACAGCGTGTAGTTGTATGGGGGAGTCTACACAGTTGCCATATTGTTTTATACGCTCGTTCATTGAGCGTCCGGTACATCATTTTCATGCTTATCTTGGGCCTCTATTCTGTTGGTTGTCATGAGTTGAGGGTGTCTGTCTGTTTGTCACACAGCTCTTATTGGTTGTTGTCATATAAAGTTACCCAGGGGGCCCAGGTTGTGTGGAATCTTTGTGCCGTTTTTGCGTCTGGGGCGGCCATACGTTCGTATGTGTAGTATTGCTGTATTTTATCCCATAATTTGGCTTTGTTTGGATAGAATGTGGATTTCCAATTGCAGGCTATTAAGTTTCGAGCTGCCAGGATGGTGATTGCACACAGTTGTTTGTGTGCATATTTAAACGATGGGGGGAAACGCATAAGTAGGAATAGTTCGGGGGTATTTCCAATGTGTGGGACGTTGAGGGCACTTAGAGTGTTTTGTACTTCTACCCAGAGGGGTTGTATGTTGGGACATGACCACCATATGTGCTTGTGCGTGCCTATCTCTGCCAAACACCTCCAGCAAAGGGGAGACGAATTGGGGTAAATTTTATGGAAAGTGTAGGGAGTTAAGTGCCATCTATACAGCAATTTTCTATGTGCTTCTATATGGGTGTAGCACTTAGTCCAGTTAGATATGGCGTTCAGTGCGTGAATCCATTCATCATCTGTGAGTTGGATAGTGCATTCTGTTTCCCACATTGTTTTGCAGTGCGGTGTAGTGTTGGGTAAGGTACCGTCCCAGGCCTTATAACATAGGGAAATACTTTTCTTTTTCATAGGGCCTTTCCAGCATCTTTCTATTATTGCTTTTGTTGAAGGGGGGCTCGGGCTAAGGGGTTGTTGTTGTCTGTTTACATGTGTGTTGATGATCCCTTTTAGTTGTAGGTATGTGAAAATAGCGTTTGCTGGTAACTCCCATTTCTGTTGTATGTCCGTGAAGGTCATTACTTCTTGTGATTGCATTAGTTGGTGAATATGTCTAATGCCTGCATGTACCCATGTCTGAAGACGTATGTCTGGTGATATGGCTCTTAGGGCGGTCAGTGGTGCGTTGGGGTGGAATGTTTCTTTGGCCCCTACTGTATCTAAGAATTTTGACCAAATGTGGACGGTCAATGCTGTGGTGGGGTATAGGTTTGGTTTGTTTGGTCTATGTTTTCTCGGCGTCCATAGGAAGTCGAGCGTTGCGTTTTTGTCCAGTTGGGCTCTTTCCATGTCCACCCATTGGATGATACCCTGTTCTGAATGCATCAGTATGCCTGATGCCAACATTGTGGCTTTATAATACTGGCTTAAGTTGGGTAGCCCTACTCCTCCGTTTTTAGGATGCTTGTAGAGTAAGGTACGGGATACTTACGAGGTTAAACTGTAAATAGATAAAGTGATACACTCTATTATAGAGTTTTTTCTGTGATACTTTCTGGACATATCAGCTATTTAATAGCATTTTATTACTGGCTCTTGTTTTAGAGCATTATATATACGTTTGAGATTCAATCAGTGCACCGATCGATTACTTTTGTCTGCTGCATCAGACTTATATATCCAGAACCAGGACTTTTTTTCTACTATTATTTCTATTATTTCAGGACCATCAATATAGACTGTGACCTACTTAGTTATATTAAAGTCAAATAGTCGTGGATATTTTTCTATTATAGTAGATGATGTGGGAGGTATAACCTTTTTCGGTTGACGACACGTTTTAGAGGTTTTTGGTTTATTATAACTTAGTTTAATATTGTGAAGAGGCATTTGATTGTAACAATTATCTTTATTTATATTATTATTCCAGATTTAAGCTTATTTTGCTGGACTAGGTTTTCCAACACTTAAGTTTTCTTTTTCTATTCATTATTGTATAGGGGTTAAGCCCCAGGACAATACTGGAGTGTCCACACAGGTTTTGTTGTGGGTTTCCAGGCAGGATTGTATTCTTGCTAGAAATACCCACAACTTTATTTCTATTTTTTCGTTTTTAGGTTTCAATACCGTTATACCTGTATAGCACTTTACAATATGGCTGTTTTTTTTATCAGATAAGACCTCTAGGGAGGCATGGTATCAAGATATAGACTCTGTGTTCTCAGAAAACACCTCTCAGGACAACATTTCATACACCAATATTAACTCAGCATTTAATAACTTAACATCATTGTTTAAACAGCAGATACGTGCAAGTTGGGAAATAGCGTCATTGGAGAAATATCTTAGCAAGGAACTTATTCCCAGAGGCCTCAGAGTTCAAAATGTCCCAGCTCCACATATTGAAGAGTCTGAGTTCCTCAAAGAATGGGAAGAGGCAGCAGGAGTCTGTTCCCTTAAATTTATGGATATACTTTGCAGATTCGAAAAAAAGAGACTAGAAAAAGTCAATAAGGAGGTTGACGAAGAGATAGAAAGAATTCAGACTTTCAAAAAAGAGGCTAATTTTGATCAATTGGAAATTAAATTGAAAACACAATTAGATAGATTTCAATTGTCCATCAAAACACGCAAGCATTCCAAATTCATGAGGGACACTAAAGATTTTCAAACTGGGAATGTATATCGTAAAATTAAAAAGAACAAAAGAGTGGAATTTGATAGATTTTCAACATCAGAATACGAAACTAGTGGTTCAGATTCAGATTTTAATTCAGAAGACCCCTCAGGGTCCACTGATCCCAACCCTAGAAGCATACTAAAAAAGGGGGTTAATTTTTTAGCAAGGGCCAATGTAGAAGAAAGGCCTCAACGCAAAACAAGGAGCAGTACAAGACAGGGGTACAAGCGAAGGAAAGCCTACTAACCGATAAAGGTCAGGTAATCAATAGGTCTGCCTACAATCTGACCCCCCTTGAACTACAGGTCCTTTCTAAGGGAATGTCGTTCGTCCCTATACCCAAATTTGATAAGTTTGGCTGGACCAAAGACATTCACCTTTTTGCTCGTAAATTGGCCCTTCATAAATTTCATTGTATTCGAAAAGCTAAACGAGCAACTAAACTAGGGCTTGATACTCAGGATATGGACCTCTTAGTTGACCTTCTTACTAGTAATGATTCTAGTGATACACTAGTAGCTCCAATGACGACTTTCAAACCTAAAAGCAAATTCACTCCACACATTCCCGAATTCAAATATATTGAATCTTTTGTTGAGTTAACTTGTGAGGAGATAGAAGCATTAAGTATAGATTCTGCAACGTTATCAGAAAAGGATAATCTGAGCCCACTTGAAAGGAAAGCATTATCAACTCTTAAAGCAAATGAAACAATTGTCATTAAACCATCTGATAAAGGAGGTAACATAGTGGTGATGGACAGGAGTGACTATATCCAAATGGTTTATAGAATTCTGGACAATAAAGATACATATACTATCTTGAGTTCAGATCCAACACCAAGATTTCTAAAAGAACTCTGCACCATTTTGGATACAGCACTTCACTCAAAGCTGATTACCAATGATGAATATAAATATTTATGTAATAAAAAGCCCACATTAGCAACCTTTTATGCTTTACCAAAAATCCATAAGCAACAACCCATCCTTTCAGGAAGACCAATAGTCTCAGGAAGAAACAACCTTACTCAGAATTGTAGCGAATATGTGGAGTTTATCCTTAGAGATTTACTGAAAAATCTACCTTCACACTTGAGAGATACAAAACAGACTCTCAATATTCTCAAGGACACAATACTACCAATAGAGGCTAAGCTTTGTAGCCTGGATGTAGAGGGACTGTATAGCTCTATTCCCCATGAGATTGGGATTAAACATGTGAAATGGTTTTTGGAAAATAAAAGGTCGAATTTTAAAGAACATAATAATTTTATACTCCAGCTGTTGCATTTCATCCTTACGCACAATTATTTTCTCTTTGAGGGAGTTTATTACCAGCAGATGAGGGGGACAGCGATGGGGACAACTTGTGCCCCTTCCTATGCCAACCTTCATCTTGGATGGTGGGAATACAATATGGTATTTGGCCCACAACTGGCCCACTACATGGAGTTCATTTGTGTTTGGAAACGCTATATTGATGACGTACTGGTAGTTTGGACAGGTACAACAGAACTTTTCAACAAATTCGTAGCTGAACTTAACAATAACGCTATCAACTTAGGATTTACATATGAGTTTGGAGGTGAGAAAATCAACTTTCTGGACGTCACATTGACTATCAATAAACACAAACGGGTTTCTACGACACTTTATAGAAAACCCACTGCTACAAATAATTTTTTAAACTGGGATAGTTACCATCCTCCAGCAATGAAGAGAGGGATACCAGTGGGCCAATATTTAAGACTTAGGAGGAACTGCTCATCGTTAGATGAGTTTAAGCTTAAAGCACAAACCCTACGGATCCAATTTAAATCGAAGGGATTTCCGAATAAATGTCTTAAAAAAGCGTATCAAAGAGCCCTCCTTACAGATAGATCAGAACTACTATCAGAAAATGTTCCAGTGACAAGTAATAAAGTCATACGATGTATTGGAACATTTGATTCAGGTTGGAATCTTGCTAAAAAAACCTTGGAAAGATTTTGGCCTCTCCTATATCAAGATCAAGATTTACGGGAGGTTTTGACCCCCTATGTATCATTAACAGCTAGGAGAGGTAAAAATCTTAAGGATATCTTGGTACCTAGTCATCTTGCTCCTATTCCGACTTCTCCTACATGGTTGAAATCTTTAGCAATAGGCACCTTTCAATGTGGACATTGCAAGGCGTGTAAATATATAAACAAACAATCTAAAATATTCTCCAATTCAACCAATACTGAAACACACACAGTGAAAACTTTTTTCAATTGCAAAACATTCGGAATTGTCTATCTCATGACCTGCAGTTGTGATAAGAAATATGTGGGGAAGACTTTTAGACCTTTTAAAGTACGAATTCTAGAACACGTTAACTCAGTAAATCCAACTAGACACATTGATACTCCAATCTCACGCCACCTTAAACTGAAACACAATGGATCGGCGCAAGGTCTACGTTTTAGTGGCATTGAGAGAGTCAAACTAGGCCCCAGAAAAGGGGACATCGATAGAATACTCCTCAAATGTGAATGTTATTGGATTTACAAATTGAAAACATTATCTCCTTGGGGCTTAAATGAAGGTTTTTCTTATACACCTTTTATTTCTGATTAAATTTCAACCAGTACATTGTGTAACTTTAACAATATAAATTATTAAGTGCTACTAATATTTAATTTAATGATTCCTTATATATTGTATATAATTCCTTTTCTTAATTTTTTTTCCTTAGTTATATTTCACTATCACAATTAGGAACTTGTAATCTATAATATTTATACTATTTATAGTCCCCCCTGCCTTCACAATGAATATTCTAAACGTCTAAGTCCTGTTTTCTGCCTTTATGTAAACATAAGAACTTAATGGCTAACCGATATAATCGGTAATTTATTATTCTTCAAGAGTGGGTTCTGATACATTATATTAGTGTACTTTTCGTTTAATTTATTCACTTTGGAATCAGTCAATATGATTATTTGATGTTAGGATATTTTATAATGTTAATTCAAGAGGATGCAGCTATGAAGAGAAGATTAAATTAAATTATAGCGATATACTAGTTATCAAGCTGATGGTTTATAGCTATCGGCACCACTTTTAAATATCAGAATTGCAACTTATATTACGCTATCTCCTTTCTACTAAAACTCGATTAAATAAGAGATTTCAATACCACTATCTTTCGTTAGTGTGGAGATCAACAGTTTTCACTCTTATATATTAACATCATTGTTATCGCTTCTGGTATCGATGGGATGTAGTACATATCTACATTTATAAAATAAAGCTTTAGAAATAAATCGCTAAGTTTATCTACGATTTTATTTTAGCTTTATGTATCATTATCATGCAGTCGACGAATGAGACACAATTTGATACAGCTAACAAAAAACCTCTGAACAGCTTAGCAGTCCTCATAACAGTATAATTATACTTCCGTTTGACTTTTTAATCCTAATGTTAATTTTATTAGGGTTATGTTGATTCTTTACATTATAACAAGACATTAATGGTATTAGCCCTTACATAGCTTATTAAAACTTTGGCAATCGGCATCAAATATAATGAAAACACCAGCAATAATCCTTTTCACCTTACTACATATATAATTTTAGTGAAGACGGGATATTGCTGGCATCATTAGTTTAAGCTGTATATTTGATATTAGACATAATAAGGACTTTGAACAGTTAACGGCTGATTAATATGTTAACTCCGCCCCGCTCAGAATATGATTGGAGCATTTGTATTACGTCATTCTTAATTCATTGCCGGCATTTTCGCCATTAATTATAACGGTTATTTTAGCGGTCCATGATTGGACCGTGAGTAAAGGAGGTTGGCATTGTAGGGATATATAAAACAGACTGAAGTGAGTCACTTCAATTCTGACCCCTGACGAAGGTGCATGTCTTAGCACCGAAACGCGCGTCGGGTTTTTCCGCTCTTATTCTTTATCACTGTCACATTGGGGCACTTTCATTTCTATCATGTGCAGGCAGCCAACACTCTAAGTATGGCTATGCACATATTTTATTAATAACTTTCTAAACCTCCCTTCCAGTCCTGATCTTTTCACTCTATCTACATTTTAAGTAGGAGTAATAAATAGATAAATGGATACTATATTATTATAACATCCTACTTATAAGGTTCAACGGTAAATAGATATAGTGTTATATTCTATTATAGAGATATTTGTGTAATACTTTCTGGATACATTAGCTTTCTGTCCTGATCTTTTTCCTTTATCTACATCCTAAATAGGAGTAACAACTAGACAAAAGGACACTATATTGTAACATCCTACTTACGAGGTTAAACTGTAAATAGATAAAGTGATACACTCTATTATAGAGTTTTTTCTGTGATACTTTCTGGACATATCAGCTATTTAATAGCATTTTATTACTGGCTCTTGTTTTAGAGCATTATATATACGTTTGAGATTCAATCAGTGCACCGATCGATTACTTTTGTCTGCTGCATCAGACTTATATATCCAGAACCAGGACTTTTTTTCTACTATTATTTCTATTATTTCAGGACCATCAATATAGACTGTGACCTACTTAGTTATATTAAAGTCAAATAGTCGTGGATATTTTTCTATTATAGTAGATGATGTGGGAGGTATAACCTTTTTCGGTTGACGACACGTTTTAGAGGTTTTTGGTTTATTATAACTTAGGTTAATATTGTGAAGAGGCATTTGATTGTAACAATTATCTTTATTTATATTATTATTCCAGATTTAAGCTTATTTTGCTGGACTAGGTTTTCCAACACTTAAGTTTTCTTTTTCTATTCATTAAGGTACGGGATATGCGTGGTTTCTTGTTTCCCCATATGAATAAGCTACAGATGTTCTGCAGGGAGTTGAGGAGTGTTTGTGGGGCCTGGATGGGAAGCATTCTGAATATGTAGAGTATTTTAGGCAGTAACATCATCTTGTATGCATTAATTTTTCCTAGCCAGGAGTGCGTTTGAGACCATTTTTGTATGTCTCTTTTGCATTGTTGGGGGAGCGTGAGATAATTTAGTTTCAGGATTTCTTCTATTGATGGTGCGATTTTTACGCCTAGATAGGTTAGTGACGTCTTTCTCCAGTCAAAGAGGTAGTTATCTTTCAGTATTGTTTTGGTGGCTAGGGGGAGTCCGACAGGGAGGGCCTGGGTTTTATCTTGATTCAGGCGATAATGTGAGATGTCGCCGAATGCTTTCAGGGCTTCCATGAGGGGTGGTAGAGATCGCTGGGGGTCCCCTAGTGTTAATCAATATATCATCTGCAATAGCGCCAATTTATATTCCTGTCCTAGAATTGTGATTCCCTTTATGTTAGGGTTTTTGCGTATTTTTTGGGCCAACGGTTCGAGCGATAGGATGTAAAGGAGGGGGGATAAGGGGCATCCCTGGCGCGTCCCATTAGTGATCGTGAATGGATTAGATAGGAAGCCACCGTGAGCCACTTTGGCTGCTGGTGATGTGTAGAGTGCCATGACTCCTTTGATGAATTCAGCAGGGAATCCATATATGGAAAGCACTTGCTGCATGTATGTCCAGTTGAGTCGGTCAAAGGCCTTCTCCGCATCTAGTGCTAGGAGGAGGCCCCCGACCGACCCCTTACCCATCGAGGCCAGTATGTTGAGAGTTTTCCGGGTGTTGTCCGAGCCCTCTCTCCCCCCAACAAACCCTGATTGATCATTGTGTATCAGTTGTGCTATTATCTGGGCTAGTCTGTTGCTCAGTATCTTTGCATATAGTTTGGCGTCGCTGTTTAATAGAGATATTGGCCTAAAGTTTTTGCAGATATTCGGGGGTTTCCGGGCTTGGGTAGAGTGGAGATGTGTGCTAACAGCATTTCTGTAGGTAGAGTTCCCGTGTCGCTACAGTGTTGGTATACGTTTATTGTGGTGTAATGTGTTGGGAGAATACTTTATAGTACCTGTTCGGGAGACCGTCCGGTCCTGGTGCTTTGTTCATTGGTAGGTCTGCTATGGCTTTGGCTATTTCTTCGGGGGATATTGGTTGTTTGAGTTGGTGGATGTTGTCTTGTGTAAGGGATGGTAAGGCAATATTTGCCAGAAAGGCGTCAATGGTAGTTGAGGAGGGTATTTGCACTGTCTCGTCATCTTTTAGATTATACAGTTTGTGGTAGTAGTTGGCAAATTCGTTTACAATTTGTTTCGGATCTAAAATTTTTGAACTATTGCTGTCGGTAAGGGAGGCAATCCTGGAGGCGATTGATTTTTGTTTGAGTTGTGCAGCCAGTTTTGCTCCGGCTTTATTACCATAAGTGAAGTATTTGTGTTTGGTCTTTTGTAATAAGTATGTGGTTTTGGCCAGTTCAAAGTCTCTTAGTTGAGACTGGGCTTTTAGTAAGGCTGCTTGTGTAGTGGGTGTTTGAGACTGTTTATTTTTATGTGTTAGTGCGGTTATCACTTCTATCAATTTTAAGTATTGGGCTTGACGTGTTTTATTGGCTTGGCTTGCATGTTTTATGAAGCTGCCCCATATCACAGCCTTATGGGCTAGCCATAGGTATTCTGGCGTGGTGTCCGATCGTGTGTTTTCAGTAAAATAGTTTTGTAGATCTGTTGTAATCTGTGATATCACTACCGGATCATTGAGCAGAGATTCATTGAGTCTCCAGGTCGATCTGCCAGTAGATGAGAATTGCTCGGTTAGAGTTAGGGAGATGGGGGCATGATCCGACCAGGAGATAACACCAATATCTGCGTTTATCAGTCTTGTTAGAGATGTGGCTTTAATTAAGAATCTATCGATTCTAGAGTAGCTGTTGTGTGCCGCTGTATAGCAGGTATAATCTATGTCTGCCGGGTGTGATATCCTCCATGGGTCTATAAAGTTGTGTGTTGTTAGTGTTTGACATATTTGGGATGTTTGTTTGTGGCGTTGTGTTAGTGTTTTGGAGGTTACCCTTGTTGAGGAAGATGAGTCCATGTTTGCGTCCAGGAGAAAGTTAGTGTCGCCTCCAAGAATTGCCTCCCCAAAGCTGTACCTTGACAAGAGACAAAACACATTATCTATGAATACAGGTTGACTTTCGTTTGGGCTATATACATTCATCAAAGTATATGGTTGGTTGTTGAGACGACATTGTAATATCAGATATCTGCCCTTTTTATCACTGATTTTGCGAATGAGTTCAAAGACAACTGATTTGTGTATTAGGATCGATACCCCTCTTTTTTTTTATGGTAGCAGGTGTGATAGTCAATAGGGAACCAAGGGGAGGTAAATCTGGGCGTGGATCCCCACTTAAAATGGGTTTCTTGAAAAAAAGCCACCTGTGCCCCTTGTCTTTTGGCCTCTTGGAGGGCAAGTCTGCGTTTATTGGGTGTATTTAAACCTTTGATGTTAAGAGAGAAAAATTTTAGTGGCATGTTGCTTGATTTTATGATGGTGGTATCCAGGTATACGCTTATGTACCTTCTCCAATAATGGAGTGTTTTGGGTGTTATATTTCGTTACCGAGACTGTGAGAGGGAACTTAGTTGGGTACGGGGATAGGGTTGGGGTAAAACTATGTACACTTGCCCGTTAGCCGCAAGGGCCTGATGCAACAGTATGCAGACGGGTATTTAATGGCTCACTGGTGGGCCGTTTTTAGGGGTCAGTGGTAGTTTGGTATGAAATAAATTGGTATTCTAAAGTGAAAGAGATAATTATATTCACAGTCTTAACACTTGTAGTCTAAACAATAGCAGTTATAACAATCGAAGGTTGAGCAGTGTGGGTATTCCGCCAACAGTGGGCCTATGTTAAGTGGCCACTTGTGCGGTATCAATACCCTTTTTTTTTTTTTTGCAGATTTGATTGTGTAATCCAGTCACATAGTAATGCAACATCATTAGTACTAGCTACATAGTAATACAACAGTATTAAGTACAATGTGTTACGTGTCTAGGAGCGTGGTAGGGTGATGGTCACGGCTGGTAGTTTCTACGGCCTTGTGGAGTATTGTTGATCCATGGGATTTGTTGCCAGTCTCTCGCCATTTTTCGTGGCGGTGGTGTATCTGACTTTTGTTTTCCGCTCTGTGAAGCAGGGACGGGGATGTTCCAGTCTTCCAGAATCTGTATGCCGTCTTCAGGCGTGAGGATTGTGCGGTCTGCTCCGTTGCGTTTGACGAGTAATTTAGTAGGAAAGCCCCATTTGTATAGGATGTTAGCATTTCTGAGGGCTGTTGTGATCGGTGTAAATGAGCGTCTTTTGTTCATCGTGGCTGCTGAGAGGCCAATAAACAGTTTTATGTCCGTGTATTCTTCTGGTAGAGATGAATTAAGTCTTGACGTTTGCATTATTTGGTCTTTGACCGTGAAATAGTGGAGTCTGGTTATGACGTCCCTTGGTATAGTTGTGGGCAGGTGTCGTGGCTTGGGTAGTCTGTGGGTTCTATCCAAGCGAAGGTCTGCGTCTGTCAAGGACGGGATCAGAGATTTGAACAACTTTTGCACGTAGTGTGTGAGATCTTGTGGGCTGACATGTTCAGGTATACCACGTATCCTTATGTTGTTCCATCTGTCCCTATCCTCATTATCTGCTATTTTTCCTTCCAGATATTTAACTTTGTTTTCCAGTGCTGTGTGTGCATCTGCTAGCTCATTGTGAGCTGTTAGGATACCCTCCGTTTTTTCTTCTAGGTGGGCTGTTCTGTCCCCTATTACTTGTATGTCAGCTCTAATGTCTGCAGCTATGCGCTGGAGGTCTGAGAATAGGGCTGATTTTAATTTGTCCAGCATATTACTCACTGAGGCATTTGCGGTAGGGATGGAGGCTTCACTGCTGTGGTAGCTTTGGGAGTCTTCCCCTTCTGCTTCATATGTGGGTGAACCATGCAGTCCCACGCCATCTTGGTCGCCTGAGTGCTCCGGTTGTTGCGAGCTGAGATGTGAGTCGATCGTTTTTTGTTTTAGTTTTTTGGATGATTTCGTTGTCATTGTGTTCGGGATGGGGCTGGCAGTTAGATGGGCTGTGTTTAGTGGCAGAATTGATGCGTTCCACGCTGTGGGGCCCACTATTTCGGCGGAGCTCTCCTTCTATGCGACTGCTTCCATGCGGTCCGTGGCCACGCCCCCCCCGCATGTATATTTTGTTATTGTAAATTGGTAAATCGGAAAGCTACCCAAATCCAGAAAGTGATTATTGTGTTTAGTAAGTGCTCAAACAAGAGCAAGGAATTTTGTTTTGTTTATTTTTATTTGAAGCACCTGTATATTTTGCACCAAATAAATTGGGAAAACTGAACTGGATGTGTCCTGGACTTTGATTACCCTTTGACTATATATATATATATATATATATATATATAGTTATGTCAGTGGAAAACAGATTAAAAATAATAGTGCACTTACACTTTTTAGGACCTAATAATAAACTACAAATTAACTGCTTGACTAGTATAATCACCACCTACGAATACAGGAATACTTCTTATAGAATATTTACTTTTTATAGCATCCACATATGAACAAAGAACAAAACCGTAGAAACTATATGGAACAGTATGTCTAAAAATGTGTGTAAGTAAATAGATATATAGATGTTACACTCATATATAAGTAAGCCTGAAGTGGCACCTCTAAATAGTTGTGAGTAGTGATGTCGCGAACCCGAAATTTTCGGTTCGCGAACGGTGAACGCGAACTTCCGCAAATGTTCGCGAACCGGCGAACCGCCCGAAACGCCATTGACTTCAATGGGGAGGCGAATTTTAAAACACACAGGGACTCTTTCTGGCCACAATAGGGATGGAAAAGTTGTTTCAAGGGGACTAACACCTGGACTGTGGCATGCCGGAGGGGGATCCATGGCAAAACTCCCATGGAAAATTACACAGTTGATACAGAGTCTGGTTTTAATCCATAAAGGGCAGAAATCACCTAACATTCCTAAATCACAATCAATATGGATTGACACCTGACATATGACATATTGACACCTTGACATATGGATTGACACCTGTCCTCAGAGCCCCTGATGCACACGGACACAGAGCAGAATAGAGACTGGTCCCCCTACATAGGGTCACTTGGCAGATATGGATTGACACCTGTCCTAAGGATCCCTGATACACACTGACACAGAGCAGAATAGGGACTGTTCCCCCTACATTGGGTCACTTGGCAGATATGGATTGACACCTGTCCTAAGGTTCCCTGGTACACACTGACACAGAGCAGAATAGGGACTGGTCCCCCTACATCGGGTCACTTGGCAGATATGGATTGACACCTTGTTACAAACTGCTATTTGTAACGGGCCCTTTAAATGGCAAATTGCCCTGCTTCCCTGGGTTGTGGAGAAGCCTACTTGCCAGCCTCCTCCCGCATGACTATGGCCCCTGGGAGATTGTGAAAATGTATGCACTTTTATTTGGTGTGTATGGCCCTTTAAGACTGTCGGTGGGCATATTGGGGCTTATGGACTCTTTATGTGACTGGTGCTGGCCCTTTAAACACCTTTTTTGGGACATCAGGAAGATTGGGACACTGCCCCTTTAAGGCCGTGTCCCCAGACTTGTTGGGGACACGGCCCCTTTAAGACGGTGTCCCCTGTGTCCCCAGACCTGGTGCAAACCCTTTGTGCCTGCCTTGCTATTTCCCACTTGGTTCAGTAAATGGGAAATTATTTCAGCTGCAGAGACTAAGTCCCATTCGGCGATGGGACTTAGTCTTTTTTTCAGCCGTTTTTTTCAGCCTTATTTCAGCTGCAGAGACTAAGTCCCATTCGGCGATGGGACTTAGTCTTTTTTTCAGCCGTTTTTTTCAGCCTTATTTCAGCTGCAGAGACTAAGTCCCATTCGGCGATGGGACTTAGTCTTTTCTTCAGCCGTTTTTTTCAGCCTTATTTCAGCTGCAGAGACTAAGTCCCATTCGCGATGGGACTTGAGTAAAGTACACTGTTCCTAAAATAGACATTCCTGGCCAAATCTATGGAACTGTTTTGGGCAGGGTATGTAATAACTGCGGTTGGTCATAATAAAAAGGGACCTCCAGCTAACTTTTTAACCCCTGCATGGATTTGGCTGATTTTTGGTTATGTTTATGTTTTAAGTGTGCTGATTCCAAATATGTAATTATGAAGATGGGATGTGTAGTTTAAAGTTACAGGGTATGGCTAAAAACTGTATTTTTACTGCCTGTGTTTAATTATGTTAATCTCTTCCCAAACGTCATTTCGTTCAAAGTGGAGAGAATGTTAAAAAAATATATTTTTGTTCGGAGTGTGAGAAATGCTTTTCAGCCGCTTCTAATCTTAAGCATCATTTGAGGAGCCATGCAGGAGAGAAACCTTATTTGTGGTGTGTTTAGTATTGTTCTGATCAGTTTAATACCTTCCGCGTCTCCTATCAGTGGACGTGTATATGGCAGCCATTTTAGGAACCGCACACCTGGGACCCGAGCAAGGTCACCTCGTTTAACAGGCGACAACATTTGTCCCTGGAAAACTATCCTGGACATTATGTACAATTTGTATGGATATGGCAGTGATTTCTGTAACAGGGAGATGGAAGAAGATGCTTGGTCGGTCCTCTTAATTCAAATTTGGGGCACTGCGCGGTCAAGCTAATGCGCCACCAGATAGGAGTGGTGTGTTTAGTATTTTTCTGATCAGTTTAATACCTTCCGCGTCTCCTATCAGTGGACGTGTATATGGCAGCCATTTTAGGAACCGTACACCTGGGACCCGAGCAAGGTCACCTCGTTCAACAGGCTTGCAGCATATCCTCCAGGAAGAAGAGCCTGAACCCTTACCGCTGCACGTGTCTTACCTGTACATGGAAAGCTGCTGTGGTTCCTTGATGAGCCAGCTGCCCGTGAGTTAACATGTCCCGTGGAGAAGCACTCTGTCCTGTAAAGCCTCACCAAAAAAGGAGTGGTGTGTTTAGTATTGTTCTGATCAGTTTAATACCTTCCGCGTCTCCTATCAGTGGACGTGTACACGGCATTGATTTTTGTAACAGGGAGATGGAAGAAGAGGCTTGGTCGGTCCTCTTACTGCAAATTTGGGGCACTGCGCGGTCAAGCCAATGTGACACCAGATAGGAGTGGTGTGTTTAGTACTATTTTTATCAGTTTAATACCTTCCGCGTCTCCTATCAGTGGACGTGTACACGGCATTGATTTTTGTAACAGGAGATGGAAGAAGAGGCTTGGTCGGTCCTCTTACTGCAAATTTGGGGCACTGCGCGGTCAAGCTAATGTGACACCAGATAGGAGTGGTGTGTTTAGTACTATTTTTTATCAGTTTAATACCTTCCGCGTCTCCTATCAGTGGACGTGTACACGGCATCGATTTTTGTAACAGGGAGATGGAAGAAGAGGCTTGGTCGGTCCTCTTACTGCAAATTTGGGGCACTGCGCTGTCAAGCTAATGTGACACCAGATAGGAGTGGTGTGTTTAGTATTGTTCTGATCAGCTTAATACCTTCCGCGTCTCCTATCAGTGGTCGTGTACACGGCATTGATTTTTGTAACAGGGAGATGGAAGAAGAGGCTTGGTCAGTCCTCTTACTGCAAATTTGGGGCACTGCGCGGTCAAGCTAATGTGACACCAGATAGGAGTGGTGTGTTTAGTATTGTTCCGATCAGTTTAATACCTTCCGCGTCTCCTATCAGTGGTCGTGTACACGGCATTGATTTTTGTAACAGGGAGATGGAAGAAGAGGCTTGGTCGGTCCTCTTACTGCAAATTTGGGGCACCGCGCGGTCAAGCTAATGTGACACCAGATAGGAGTGGTGTGTTTAGTACTATTTTTATCAGTTTAATACCTTCCGCGTCTCCTATCAGTGGACGTGTACACAGCATTGATTTTTGTAACAGGGAGATGGAAGAAGAGGCTTGGTCGGTCCTCTTACTGCAAATTTGGGGCACTGCGCGGTCAAGCTAATGTGCCACCAGATAGGAGTGGTGTGTTTAGTATTGTTCTGATCAGTTAATACCTTCCACGTCTCCTATCAGTGGTCGTGTACACGGCATTGATTTTTGTAACAGGGAGATGGAAGAAGAGGCTTGGTCGGTCCTCTTACTGCAAATTTGGGCACTGCGCGGTCAAGCTAATGTGACACCAGATAGGAGTGGTGTGTTTAGTACTATTTTTATCAGTTTAATACCTTCCGCGTCTCCTATCAGTGGTCGTGTACACGGCATTGATTTTTGTAACAGGGAGATGGAAGAAGAGGCTTGGTCGGTCCTCTTACTGCAAATTTGGGGCACTGCGCGGTCAAGCTAATGTGACCCCAGATAGGAGTGGTGTGTTTAGTACTATTTTTATCAGTTTAATACCTTCCGCCTCTCCTATCAGTGGTCGTGTACACGGCAGTAATTTCTGTAACAGGCAGATGGAAGAAGATGCTTGGTTGGTCCTCCTAACTGGAGACTGTGTTGCTGTACGGGTGGCAGGTGGAGCCATTTATAAAGTACACACCGCTTTATAAAGCCATTTATAAAGTACACACTGGCGGCTTGAACCCAAGTTGGTGGCGGATAAGTCACGCAAGTCAACAGGCATTCAGAGCTAAAATACAGCAGCGTGTGGACCATTTTTAGCCCAAGGCAGCCCATCTCATCAGGCCTTTTTTACATAGGGTCACTTGGCAGATATGGATTGACACCTGTCCTAGGGATCCCTGATACACACTGACACAGAGCAGAATAGGACTGTTCCTCCTACATAGGGTCACATGGCAGATATGGATTGACACCTGTCCTCAGAGCCCCTGATACACACTGACACAGATCAGAATAGGGAATGCTACCCCAACATAGGGTCACTTGGCAGATATGGATTGACACCTGTCCTAAGGATCCCTGATACACACTGATACACACCTACTTGAATGGTATAGACATTTTTAGCAGCCCCTGGCCCGAACACCTGACCCACATAGGAGCCGTAATAGACCGGATTAGGGAGTCCGGACTGACCCTAAAGCCCAGTAAGTGCCATATAGGAATGTGTAAAAACCTCCCCAAGATAGTAGTAAGGGCCCCAGAGTGTGAATATCAGGTCCTCCAACAGCCTGCTAAGACGGCGCCATTAAATCACCTGTACTTTCTTTCCTCCTGATCCAACTAAACACTGTCTCGGCCCATACAGACGCCGCCTATGCTTGGATTGGGGAGCAGTATTGAGCCAAGCCTGGAGCAGATGGTATTAGCAAACCCGGGTCATCTAAGCCGTAAACTTTTGCACAGCGAAGTATATTCACTGCCATTGAAAAGGAGTGCATAGCGGTGGTGTGGGCCCTCAAAAAGCTGCAACCTATTTGTATGGACAACCGTTTACCTTACTCACAGATCACAACAAATTTGGGGCACTGCGCGTGCAATCTAATGTGCCACCAGATAGGAGTGGTGCGTTTAGTACTATTGTTATCAGTTTAATCACTGTTACGCCCCCTATCCGTTGATGTGGAGCAAGACGCAGCAGCAGAAGAGGACTAAGCCGAGGAGGTTATGGAAGAGGATGGAGTAGGAGGAGTAGAGGAGGTGGCA